GGGGGGGGGCCCTGCAGGTATCCACGTAGTTGGGATTGGGGTCGGCCCCTAAACCACTTGTTTCTCCTGCAGAGTGGTCTGGAGATTTCGAACTTCCAACCTTGAGGTTAGCAGTATTGCTTCTAAAAATTCTGAAAGGTCAAATAAATACAAAACCCAAACTCACTGCCATCCGGTCAGTTCCAACTCATAGTGACCACATTAGGCAGGGTGGAAGTGCCCCTTGGGGTTTCCTAGACTGTACTTCTTTACAAGAGGAATGAATACACGTCTTTCTTTCAAGGAGCAGCTAGCTGGTGGTTTCAAACTGCTGACCTTGTGGTTCGCAGCCCAATGAGTTATCAACTATGCCACCAAGTAAAATAGCGAGGAGAAAAAAGTTAATGCTGGTAGTCCCTGACTTACGATATGGTCCCATTCAGATGACTCTGTCATAAGCAGGTTTCTTTCTTTCTTTTTTTTTAACTAGGTTTTACTGTAAGTTGAATACCTCACTTAAAAATTGCCTTTATTATCAATATATGGTAGTATCTTTAAAAATTTGATCTTTGTCTTTGGGGTGGGAAACATTCCACATAAACATCTGTTAATGAACAATGATAACATTAGCGTATTATATGCTGCAACACTGTATACAGGGCATATTCTAAAACTCAATGTCACTGCCACCCAGTCATTCCAACTCATGGTGACCCTATAGTCCAGTGTGAAACTGCCCCTGTGGATTTCTTAGACTGTAACTCTTCACGAGAGTTAGGAAGCCTCCTTTTTCTCCTGATGAGTGGCTGGTGGTTTCGAACTGCTGACCTTGCAGATCACAGCCTAACCCATACCCACTATGCCACCAGGGCTCCTGGACAGCATATATTGCTAACAATAAACCCAAAACCATTGCCACCAAATAATTCCAACTCTTACTGACCCCAGAGAGGACTTCAGAGACTTCACGTTGACGTGAGTAGATGTTTTTCTCCCAAAGGAGAGGAAGCTGGGCAATTTGAACAGTAGACCTTGCAGCTAGCAAGCAATGTTTACCCTAGGTCATCCCCACAGAGCTCCTTTCACTTGCCGTAAGATGTGCCCCAAAAGGAGGAGTAATTGTTAAGTGTGGTTTCTCATAGCCAGGGACTGATTAGGACAAGATTTTCTCAAGTTTTCCTACCAATCTCTGGCTACTGAAAAAACAAACATGGTGAACAAAATGCTAAGGAACAATAATTCTAGACTACTGTATTTAACGTGTCCCTAAATTTTTGTACCTCACTCATTTGTGATTGTATTTTCTGTAAGTAAAACTTTCTGGCTGGGAGGATGTACACTGGGACAGATAGGAACTGGAAACGGGGAATCTAGGACAGATGATCCCCTCAGGACCAGTGGTGAGAGTGGTGATACCAGGAGGGTGGAGGGAAGGTGGGGTAGAAAGGGGGAACTGAACACAAGGATCTACATACAACCCCCCCTCCCTGAGGGATGCACAACAGAAAAGTGGGTGAAGGGAGGCGTCGGACAGTAAAGACATGACAAAATAATAATCATTTATAAATTATCAAGGGTTCATGAGGGAGGGGGGAAATGAGGCGCTGATACCAAGGGCTCAAGTAGAAAGCAAATGTTTTGAGAATGATGGTGGCAACAAATGTACAAACGTGCTTGACACAATGGATGGATGGATGGATGGATGGATGGATGGATGTTAAGAGTTGTAGAAGCCCCCAATAAAATGAGTTAAAAACCAACCAACCAACCAAACAAACAAAACCAAACAAATAAACCAACTTTCTGGCTCGGAGAATGAGAGGTTAAATATTGAGCCATGTTTGCAAACAACATCACAATTCACCAGCTGAACGATTTCCTCTCCAAGGAGGGCACAGGCAACTTGCTATCCTACCAGCAGTTGCAGGCTCGCCCTTTCACTAACTCCCTGGGGGTGCCCGGCCCTCCGCAGGTTCCCACTGCTCCCCAGCGCCACCACCCCTCTTCCCAGAAGACTCCTCCTGCGGCCCAAATCCTCGACTCCTTGCAACGTCACAGGCCCGCGGAGCGGGCAGCTGCAGACAGGCTTAACATGCCAAGCCTGGAGGTCCTGCAAGAACTCGGGTCGCGGGCGGCTCGCTGGACCTCCGAGCGCTGGGCAGCGGCCGGGGACACGGAGCGGGCAGCGGACCCCCGACACCAGCTCTCTGCCGACTCACTCCAGCGGTCGACGACAGGACGACACGGCGAGGAAGCCCTCGGCGGGCCCAGCTTCATTGCACGCCGGTTCGAACACCCGCGCTGCCCTCGGAAGTGACGTGCCAGCGGAGAGCTCCGGCTCCTCCACCTGACCGGCTGCCCGCTCAATGGGCACTCCCTCCGCGTCGGGCTGGAGATGCCGAGTCCCCCGGGCAGCTCCCCACGCCCCCGGGGACCCGGCGAGCGGGGCGGGACCGCGGCCGCAGCCAGGGCCGGGCGGTTGGCGCGACGCGGCACCCGTCGGGCGCCCTGCGGGCACCGGGCTTCAGCTCCAGCCCGCGCGCATGCGCGGCCCTTCTCCTCCGCCGGCGCGGCCCGCGCTCACCTGGCTGCCGGCATCTCGGCCACCGGCGCCTCAGGGTCCTGCTCG